ACAAACACGTAGGTCGTGACAGAATACTTCCATTAGATACCCTAGCACAAAACTTACCTGACCCTCTACCTCAACTTCGAAAGTACGGATCGAATAAACATCGTGGGCATCTATGGCGGGAAAAAAGGGAAAAAGAGGAGACTTTAGTATGTAGTGATAACATGCAATGTTGGGATATCGGTCTCATTCGGTGATCGAATGAAAACCAGATACTGAGCTGTTGCAAATTCAAAACCAGATTATTGACCATTGGAGATTGTCTTTAAGCCACTTCAACTACATTTGTGAAATAAAACAACGGGTGGGCGTTGTGATGGGGTTAAACAGTTGAGATCAATGAATGATAAAAAGGGTCGAGGAGAGACAAGTTTCCGTCGTACGCTCATTTTCAAACATCAACGGGTTACGCAAGTGTTGATTTATTCGGGTCCCCACTCCGTCAATGCGTAATGTGGTCCACTTTCGGTCAAGGAAAGGAAGTTGGAGTGCATGAACCAACGTTTTTGTACATACGATTTGGGATTTAACAAGCAAATGACAATTGTCTCGGTTTTCGCAAGTGTTTGAATCCGAACAGTCTTGGATTTGTGTTTTGGGTCGCATGTGGCTTAAACACGGAGAAAACGGGGTTAGTTGAAGTTCCATTGTTACACATTTGGTTGAGATTGGACATGGCATGGACATCAATTCGGTTTTCACCATCATTGAACGGGTCAAACAACACAAAACCAAAGCTGTTCGAATTACTATTCGCTTTTAGCCCAACGTTGTCCTTGAATCTTTCCTCTGACAGATTGTTTTACGTTGTAGCGACAAAGGAAATTAAAAGAAATGTTATGATCTCGCAGTATTTATCTTCTCTCGCTGTTCTCAGTATGCCAGAAATGTCTGGGGTGCTCCCGCTATTGCATACTGATAACATGTTGAAGCTATAAAGGAAACCAGGTTTTATAATAAACAGTATCGCAAGAACTAGACGAAATTATCCTGGAGCGCAAGACCGGTTTCGTGGGTATTCCAGTTCATCAGGATGGTCGATCCGGTACTCCTACGTTAAGTTATTCCTATTTTTGTACTCCCTGTGAATTACGTAACAAGATATCTACTTGCGCCTCAGTAAGTTCCAGAAAGGCCAATATTGATAAAGTATTGCGATCAGTTCATGAACTTCTTCAAACCATGGGGTTTATTCGTTCTAGTGTATTTACTTCCAAGCATTCCACGATAACCAGAAATAATGGCTTACCGGACAGATCACCGGTGGCCGCGGACAGTCCAAAGTAGTAGCCCACCGGTAACCGGACATTATCAACGGCAATGCATGAAATCTCCTTATCGTCGCCGGAATATTTTAACACGACCTAGGGTGTGTATCATACAGGCAGAGCAGGAAAGAAAACGAAAAGAATGAGGAAACAATATAGTCAAACGGTAGAACTGTTTCAATTTGCATGAATTCATAGTGGTAGGATTTCCTAAGCAGTTTACCCTCCAAAATAAGAAGAGTAAATTATCCAAAGTTTATGACAGAACTAATTATAAGGGACGGTGTGGCTTCATTAAGACGATGTGGGTCGACTGCCGGACCCGTAATGTTGGTCAAATGAAGCTGACGAGTTATTCCAGTAAACTGAACCATTCCAGGTATCATGAATACCTGGAATAAAATTAATATTTAATGAATATGTAAACGCCTACCAAGGAAGAATGAATTTCGAAAATGTGTTGTTTTAGGATGCGACATGGTAAACAAACGGTTTAACTAACCAGCCGAATACAGTACAGTTGAACGGTTAAATTAAAAAAGGATAAGTGGATGGAGAGCAGAGAACACGACAGTGGTGTGGGATGAAATGTTCTATTGTTCTTCGAGTGCATACTTATGCACACCAAACAGTAATGGCAGTTCCTTTCCTAACCAAGCGCCACCGTTGCATAGAGCTAAGGAGGATCACGAGGTATTGCAGTTTGTAGGATCTGAAAAATTGGATTTCATTTCGGACTGTGATAATGTTCAGATGAATCATGGGAGGCACATTGAGATTACTTAGTTTTTTGGACTAGGACGACCGGTTAAAGCGTTTGTTTTATTCACCGCTCGAGACACCTTCACTGGTTGCAAATAAGTACACCATCTGTCCTACAGATCGTTTCTTTGGCAGTGTCGATGGTACCAATTAGCTGAGAGGGTTTCCCAGTGTTCGCCGGAATATGCAATTAAATGACATTGAACTGACAGCACAGCTTGGTGAACAACCTCAAGTATTTTTTAATTTACTGAAGGAGAATCAATTTCGGAATGCATTATAACAGAACTACAGTTCCCATATTTAAATTAGCATAACACAACGATAAAGAGATAAGTCAAATTGTTACAATCATCTGTCATGCCGTAAAATGATCCGCCAAAACCGGTACAGAAAAGCAGTCTCTCTCTCTCTCTCTCTCTCTCTCTCTATATATAT